TGCATGTACCCTCCTTACTCCCTTGTTGCCCTGCCTGCGGCCACCCCCAATCTCCCCGTACTGCTTGCAGGGCCGACTGCCTGTGAAGTGGATGGCACCTGAGGCATTGTTTGACCGGATCTACACCCACCAGAGTGATGTGTGAGTTTGAAATGGGCAATTGCCAGGGATATTTGGGACAGAAAATGTCCAGTATGGTAGGGTCCTGTCTTCCCCTCTGGATCAAAAAGGGTCTCCTTCCATCTCAAAGAGAAAAAAACAAAACATTGTCTGTATCCATTCACTTTGTTCCTGGGGGACAAAAGGCTGATCTGTTCTCTGCACTGTCTCCTGCTATGCTCCTCGGAATTAAAGATTTGCGTTGGGGAGGGTAGGTTCGGGGTGAGATTCTGATATACTGCTGAAAGAGAGATGGAAAGAACTCTAGGTTGGCCTACCTCTGTGCTCATAACACCCAGGGGCTCTGTGCTCATCCACAGGTGGTCTTTTGGGGTGCTTCTGTGGGAAATCTTCACTCTGGGTGGTTCCCCATATCCTGGCGTGCCTGTGGAGGAGCTTTTCAAGCTGCTGAAGGAGGGTCATCGTATGGACAAGCCCAGTAACTGCACCAATGAACTGTAAGCATGAGAAGATGCCGGAGGTCCTGAGCTAGGCCCTTGGGTAGAATGAGCATGGTGGGAAGAGAAGAAAGAAGTGTTTAGCTAGATAAAGCAGCCCTTCCTGGTCATTTCTCCCACAGTACCGCCACGATGAGATTTTTTAATCTCACTTACATCTTTCTTCACCTGACCTTACAATCCTGTTGCAGATACATGATGATGCGGGATTGTTGGCACGCAGTACCCTCTCAAAGACCTACCTTCAAGCAGCTGGTAGAAGACCTGGACCGCATTGTGGCCTTGACCTCCAACCAGGTGAGGCTGTCTCATCCTAGATTTTCAGTCATCATCAGTTAAGTACATCTCTGTGAATTAATACCACCACAGGGGTGAGAGTGCTGGATCCACTGTTGTTTTGTCTCTTCTATCACAGGAGTATCTGGACCTGTCAATGCCCCTGGACCAATACTCTCCCAGCTTTCCCGACACCCGAAGCTCTACCTGCTCCTCAGGGGAGGATTCTGTCTTCTCTCATGAGCCGTTGCCTGAGGAGCCCTGTCTGCCCCGACACCCAGCCCAGCTTGCCAATGGTGGACTCAAACGACGCTGACTAGCACCCCAGCACTGCCCCTCCCTGAACTCCATCATCAGCTGTAACCCTCACCCACCACTCCCCGCTGGACTCACTGCCCTCCCCTTTGTCCCTTTCCTGCTGGCAGGAGCCAGCTGCCTACCTGAGGCCTTCGCCCCACTGAGCTCACCTCTCTTCCTCCTCTCAGCCTGCTTGTGGGAGAGAGGAGCAGAGAGGCAGGCACTTGCTGATGGCTACTCCAAATGTTGGACCAAGACCCCTCCCTGCCACCTGGCATTACCTGGAGGGTTAGGGAGTGGGAGGTGAGCAGGCATACCAGCGAGAGCTGACTGAGCTTTCCTGTGTTGGTTTTGTCTGCTTCACCATAACCCATAAGCCCCTGTGTTCCGGTGGCAGGCACCTTGTCTTCAGGGCTACAATAGTAGTGAGCGGACATCAGTGCTTCAGGCCTCAGTTGAAGGCAACCTCTGCTCCAGATAGATGGTGCCAGTGGCTTATTAATTCCAATACTAATTTGCTTTGCTGACCAAATACCTGGTACCAGAGGATGGGGAGGCAAAGGCTGGGAGCAGTGTCGTGGCCCTGGGGCCCAGCCCCAAACTGGGGGCTTTGTACATAGCTATGAAGAAAACACAAAGTGTATAAATCTGAGTATATATTTACATGTCTTTTTAAAAGGGTCGTTACCAGAGATTTACCCATTGGGTAAGATGCTCCTGGTGGCTGGGAGGCATCAGTTGCTATATATTAAAAACAAAAAAGGAAAATGTTTTTAAAAAGGTCATATATTTTTTGCTACTTTTGCTGTTTTATTTTTTTAAATTATGTTCTAAACCTATTTTCAGTTTAGGTCCCTCAAATAAAAATTGCTGCTGCTTCATTTTTATATGGGCTGTGTGACAAGGAAGAGAATGTCCACCGAAAAGGAGCAAGACTAATGGGCTCCGGGCCTGTGTCTGCCCAGAGGGCACTGCGCATTCCCAGCAGTTTCATCCTAACCTCTTCCTTTTAGGTCCTGCACAGAGACATTGAGACAAACCTCCTACCTCTCCGATGCTTTTGGAAAGGGAGGAAAAGAAGAAGTCTGTGTAATGGACAGGAACCTCCTGTCAGTGCACGGGGTAGGGGTGGGGGGAGGGCACTGGGCTGAGAGCCAAGGCCCTGCAACCCTCAACCATTGATTGTTTCCTCAGGGGAAACTGGTGGGGTCGCGTAGGTCAGGGGGTCAGAGAGGGAGCTGGGGACCTACCTCAGAAGAGCCAAGAGATGGAGGAAAGCTAAGGATTATTCAGCAAGGGCCTGCAGAAACTCGAAACCAGATATGTCTACCCCCTCCGTGTGGTCGTGGTTTTGCCTGTGCTGCGATGTGAGGGAAAACTTGTCACTTAAGACTACTTTTACATTCGTGTCCCTTGCTTCATGTTTCCCAGCCTGCTCTTTTCATGGTCCTTCCCCACACCAGTCTTCCTGTATCCATGTGACCAGATTACATGTGTTGGGACAATCACAGATCTTGGCTTCCTTTAGTTCTTCCTGTACAAACTCCACCCCATCTCTTAGGGAAGGGAAAAAATTCTCTGAATGTTTGTTTTTTGGCTGCTTGGAAATTTACTTCCTCTGCCACCTGCTGGTTATCACTGCATTCACCAAGTGCATCCTGGCTCCTCAGAATTCAGTGCTCAACCTGCTACTACTCAACCTCTATATCGGAAGCTTGCTTTTTTGCTGGATTACTACTGAATACAAAAGAAAGTTCAATACACTTTAATTTCTGT